CAATCCAGGTTTATATGTTGCATGTCTTTGTTCTGCCTCTCTTGCCTCTTTCAATCAGAAAAAGTTCATCTGCCTTTCTTAGTCTTTTATTATATTTAAATTTTTGAGGGCTGGCCCGTGGCTCACTCAGGAGAGTGCAGTGCCATAACACCAAGGTCACGGGTTCGGATCCTATATAGGGATGGCCAGTGCGCTCACTGGCTGAGCGCGGTGCAGCCGGTCACATAAAAGACAAAAATAAATAAATAAAATAAATAAATTTTTGAAACTTAAGGGCAGTTATTGTGTAGATTGTCCTTCAATTTGGTTTTGTCTTATTGTTACCCTATGATTAGATTTATGTTATTCAATTTTTGTCAGGAATACTATATAAATTATGTTGTGTCCTTTTCAGTGCCTAAGATCGGGAGGCATATGATGTCATTTTGTCTTATTATTGGTGATCTTAACTTTGATCACTTAGTTAAAGTGATGCCCACCAGACTTCTAAAGTGTAAAGATACCTTTTCTCCCCATTTATAATAAGTAATCTGTGGAGATATTTTCAGACTGTGTAGTTATCCTGTTTCAGAACAAATTTTTCACTAACCGCTTTAGCACCCATTGATGATTCTTGCCTGAATCGATCATTGCTGTGGAGGTCGTGAAATAGTAGTTTTTTCAACTCTGTCATTCCTCTACATTTATTAGTTGACATTCAACTGTGAAATGAGGCTTCTCTTCCCTCCTTTCTTCCTTCCTTTTTCTATTTATTTCTTATTTTCACATATATATTATGTTTTTATAGAGATTTATGGACTCATATTGTGTTCAAAAATTCTACTCTGAAAAGCAAAGGGGTAAAGAATGTAAGGGTTATGCTTACCTTAGAAAATAATGTAGACATGTATTCATATCATGAGTTGCTCATTTTGATTTTCAAATTGTTTTTTGCTTGACCAGTGGAAGACATCCCTTAGCATTTAATATTTGAATACTTTAAAAAATGCTGCTAAGAATAATTTTACTAAATATAATAAAAAGAACATATTCATGACTATATTGATATTAGTTGAATATATTCAAGAAGACTATTTTTTATTAATCAGATTTTGGCAAATAGGTAAATGTAATGAGGTTTTAAAAACCCATTATTAGGGCCAGCCCAGTGGCGCACTGCTACAGTGCGCCGCTTGGGAACGCGGCGACGTTCCCGCCGAGGGTTCGGATCCCACATACAGACCAGCCGCTCACTGGCTGAGCGAGGTGCAGGTGCAACACCAAGGTTTGCGATCCCGTTGCCAGTCCCGGTCCGGTGCGGGAGCGACACTGAGGGTTGCAATCCGTTGCCGGTCACGAAAAAAAAACAAAAAGGAAAAAATAAATAAATAAATAAGTAAAAATAAAAATAAAAACCCATTATTAGGGCCGGCCCGTGGCTCACTCGTGAGAGTGTGGTGCTGATAACACCAAGGCCCCGGGTTCGGATCCCACATAGGGATGGCCGGTTCGCTCACTGGCTGAGCGTGGTGCTGACAACACCAAGTCAAGGGTTAAGATCCCCTTACCGGTCATCTTTTTAAAAAAACAAACAAACAAACAAACAAAAAAACCCATTATTAGAATAACTGATTCTTTAGTGAAACTGGTTTTCTTCCAGTGGTACTCTATGATCTACTGTTTATATAAAAATAGCATTCTGGTAAACCTGGTAAAAACAAATAGATTGATCGAGATCAAATAAACTTCTTCAGGTTTTTTGACTTTTAAAATATAAATTCAGTAAGCAGTTGCTAAGTAAGGCCATTACATTTCTGTGACACTTACTGAAGCCTGATGCTAGATATTTTTCCTTGTTTGGCAGTTTTTTGTATTTGGACCTCAGATGCACAAAATTGGATTAATCATATTGATTCACGATATACAGTATTCTCATCATTTTTCATGCACAATCTGTTTTCATTTAGTTAGTTAATTAGTTATTTTAGTAACTGACTAGAATTAGCTATAATTTAATAAATAATCAGTTATTTTTAAAACTATGCACCTACAGCCCACCACTCAAAACAAAAGCTAGAACAGACAATAACCCTATGACCCAGCAATTCCACTCCTTGGTAAGTACTTAAGAGAAACTCTTGCTTATATACAAGAGGAAACACATACAAGAACATTTATAATAGCACTTTTTATGATAGCAAAAACCTGAAAACAACTCAAATGCCTATCAATGCAAGACAGCATGAATAAACTGTAGTGCATTCATACAATGCAATAATATATAGCAGTCGAAATCCATGAACTACAGCATCACACAACATGAATGCATCTTATGAACATAATAGTAGGCAAAAAAAGTAAGGCACCAAAGAATAAATACAGCTTAATACCCTCTTTATAAAGTATATTAGTCTGTTTCTGTTGCTTGTAATAAAATACCTGCAACTGGGTGATTTAAAAGAAAACAATTTTTTTTTTTTAAAGATAACCGGTAAGGGGATCTTAACCCTCGACTTGGTGTTGTCAGCACCATGCTCACCCAGTGAGCTAACTGGCCATCCCTATATGGGATCCGAACCTGTGGCTTTGGTGTTATCAGCCCCACACTGTCCTGAGTGAGCCACGGGTTGGCCTAAAAGAAAACAAAATTTATTGCTTACAGTTTCAGAGGCTGGGCAGTCCAAAGTCCAGAGAACACAGCTGGTGAATGCTTTGGTGGTAGAGACAATGACTAGCGTTCTTACATGGCAGAAAATGGTGGAGCAGAGAGAGTGAACTTCTCATTCAATTTCTTTTTAAAGCCCTCAGAACCACACCTATGACCACCAGTATTAACCCATTCACTATGGCATGTTCCTGCAATCTAATCACCTCTTCAAGGCCCCACCTTTCAATTACCATAATAGGATTTCCCACCCTCAGCAGTTACAGTGGGAGGCCCCACCTTTCAATTACCATAATAGGATTTCCCACCCTCAGCAGTTACAGTGGGGATTTAAGCCTCAATTAGGTTGGGGGGGAGCCAATCTACAACATAAAGTTAAAACACAAAAATTTAAAAAAGGAATACTTTCTAGGAATGTAGATAGATGCAAAGAAACTATGTAACACAGTAAGCAATGGAATCATAAAGAAGGGAGGGATTCAGGATTCTGGCAACTTGTGATGATGGAACGCAGAGGGATGGGGACGGGTCAGTGAATACATGGCTAATGTAGATTACTGTCATGTTTATTAATTACTTTAAAAAAAACCACAATACATATAAACCCAAACTTGAACATATGAAGAGAATCCTTGTTTTACAGACTATTACTAGTTTTAGGATTTCCTGATAAAGCTAACCAACTTCCATGTAAGTGTATGTTAAGATCATGTCACATTAATTTGGGTTTATACTCTATGCCAAAAAATGAAGTTCATACATTTCTAGAAACAGAAGGTAGTGAAATCCCAATGACTAACACTGCCCCTTTCTTAAGTATAATCCTGTAGTAGAAAAATACGAGAAAGTTTGAACAAAGAATATTTTTTATATAAATGAAATCATAAGTTGCATTAAGTCTCTTTCATTTCACTTTTAATTCACACACAAAAATTTCTCAAGTTGAAAATTCCTAAAAGCCATGTTATTTTTAATGGAGTCATTAGTTTTTCATGGAGTTATCCTTGGTCTCTCCATCTCCCTCACTTGCCATATCTTGTCTTTCAGAGTGGTGCTGATTCTATTGCCTTAACATTGCTCTAATCTGAACCTCCTTGTTCTCTATAGCCACTGCTCTAGTTTAGACCTGGGCTTGCAAATTAGCAACCCAAGGGCCACTATCAGCCTACAGACAAGCTTTGTTCAGCCTGTGCAATGTTTAAATTTTTAAAAATTTGTTGCCAACATTTAAACATTTGAAAATTGTACTTAAAAATGCAGATCCAAACTTTTTTTGAAAAATCACAATATCTGGCAACCCTAGGCCCATATGCCCATTCGGCAACATTCAGTTACAGCTAAGGTGAGACTTTCCTTCTCGGATGAGGCATGGGCTTTCCAGTTCAAAGAGTTTCTGCCATTCTTTGTTGTTTCTTACAACTGGCTCACTTCGCTCACTGACATTACCTGTTTGGCCCCTAATAGGACTTCTCTATTCTTCCATGCTTACCTCCAACATAGGAAATGCCCCGTTCCCTCTCTACATTGTCAAAATTAGCTTTCTCATCAGGTTTAATAAAATCACTACTTGATTTGCATATCCTTGATTTGCTAATTGTTTTCAGGGTAAAACCCAAACTCCTTAAAATAACACTTCATGACCTTGCACCAGTGTCTACACCATTCTGTTGTTCACCCGTCCCCAGTTCTGATTACTACTCAGAACCAGCAGTTCCCAAATCAGCATGCTTCCTCATTTCTGCCTGTGCTGCTCTCTCCACCTTCTCTTCCGTTTTTCTCCTGGCTAATTTGTTCTCATCCTTAAAAACTCTGCTCTGACATCAATCCTCCAGGAAACATTCCCCAAAAGCCTTTCCATCCTGCTCTTCTGTAATCCCAAAGCAACCTGTGCTCTTCAGTTTGTGAGCTCTTCGTTTAAATGCATGAGGTCTTCAACACCAAGTGTTAACCTAGGGTGGGCTGAAGTGGTGTTAATCGTACTCGCATTAGACTAGCATTTTTTCCTAGTCTACACCTCTGACCTGAGTCCGGCTCCCAGTGTGAAGTGTGACAGGGGTGTGTAAGGGTGCCCACGGGTACGGACTTGAGACTAGCTTTAGCCGGCACTTCAGATCCCGGTTCCCAGCCGGGTGCAAGCCTGCCAAGCACGCCTCCAGGATCTGTATAGTTCGTCACGAGCGCGGCCTCGGATTGGATAGGACGGTGCATGCTGGGAGCGGCCAGGTCTTCGAAGAGCTTGCTGGGAGTCGTAGTTCTTGGAGCCGGAAGTGGGGGGTGTCGGAGCTAGAAGCCGCAGCTGAGGTAGCAGTCACTAACGCTGCCGCCGTCCGGTGTAGTGCATCACCCCGAGCCCACCAGCTGTGGGTCCTTCCTCCGTCCTCAGGGGGCTCCGCGAACCCTGAGGGGAGAAGCGGCAGGGACGACGCCTCTCTTCAGCGAGGAGGCGGCCTTGCAGCCCCGGATGCGGCCGGAAGGCGCGGGAATGGAGCTTGGCGGCTCTGAGGAGCTCCTGCCGAAAGAGAGCAGGTGGGCTGGGAGAGGGCCGGGGAATCGCGGGCGATTGAGTGCGCCGAAGCACCGGGAGGCTTGATAGGGCTCGGAGAGGGGAGGTGTCGGGCGCTACAGACCTGAAGGCGACTGCTGCGAGAGACTTGTTCGGAAAGAAATTCTGAAAGGAGGGACGGGCAGGGCGTGGATAGGACGAGGGAATGGGCTTAGGGTGAGAGACGAGGGGTAGGATTTGTTGAGAGCAGGAGGAGCAGAAGAGGGTGTAGCTCAGATCCAAGACTTTTGGAGAGGAGGTGGATACTGACAGTCTGGGAGAAAAGGACTGAGGTGCTGAAGTCAGATTTTATAGGCCAGAGTCTATAGATAGGAGCAGGGCACAAGGCTGGTGCCTGACTGTAATTTGCGGTGACAGCAAGTAGGGCCAATATTAAGAGGGTGATGGAGCAAAGGTTAGGGATTATGAGTGGTCTAAGAAGAAGCGTAGGCAGGGATGACTGTGGAGAAGGAAGGCCTATGGATGAAAGTGAGAGATTGTAATGGCAGTGGGGTGGGGTTTGGGGCTTGCTGATAAGACCAGAAATTGTGTGCGTGCCCTTTGTCAATGCTGGATCCCTGTCAGAAAGTGGCAGGACCTCTGTCATTTCCTTTTCATCTTCAAACCTTTCACTTCTTCCTCACAGTGCAAACCAAGCAAGTTCACATTTATTTATATGGAACTGTTGTCAGAAAGTTCATATCTTCTAGAAATTAGAGGATTTAAGATTTTAAAAACTACTTTTACTAAATGATGAATTGAACTTTGTAGAGGTGCTTCCCGTATTTAGGATTTGCTTCATTAATAATTGTGGTCCTAGGGCCAGCACGTGGCTCACTTCGGAGAGCGTGGTGCTGACAACACCAAGTCAAGGGTTAAGATCTCCTTACCAGTCATCTTTTAAAATAAATAAATAAATAATAAACAAACAAACAAATAAATAAATAAATAAAAAATAAAATCAATCCCCTTACCAGTCATCTTTTTAAATAAATAAATAAATAATAAATAAATGAATAATTGTGGTCCTAACCTCTTTTTTTTTTTTTTTTAAAAGATGACCGGTAAGGGGATCTTAACCCTTGACTTGGTGTTGTCAGCACCACGCTCACCCAGTGAGCGCACCGGCCATCACTATATAGGATCCGAACCCGTGGCCTTGGTGTTGTCAGCACCGCACTCTCCCGAGTGAGCCACGGGGCCGGCCCAGGTCCTAACCTCTTAAGAGACTGGAATGGTGACAAGTTAGAGCAGGAATGTGTCTGAAAGGGAGCCTTGCTTTACATTTAGAAACAGTTTCAGATATAGTGATGGTCTCAGGAGCAGCTGGGGTCCAAAGATTGAAGGCAGGATATTTGTCTCTGAGAAACTATCAACAGGGGGAGGTTAATGAGATGTTCCTGGGTGAAGACTTGGCTGTTTTAAGGGTGACTCCACTTTTATGTGCATAGGTAGCCTGAGGCCTGCTGTACAAAACCTGGACTGACAGGATTTTGGGGTCACTGCCTGAGATCTATGAATGGTGTGTTCTAAGTGGAACCAAACATCTTACTTCCCTTTTCCATGTTTCAGTTTCTGCTTATGTATATTTGGCTATTTATTCTTCCTCCAGATGTCTGTAAAATGCTTCTTGTAAAAAAGTTCCATGTCAATTCTAAACAAGTTTTAGGATTTTTTTGATTTTCACCTACCAGTTCATGTGGAGGAGGTTGGGTCAGAAATTCAAGTTCAAATTTCTTCCCCATCTAGCTGGAGCTGGGTTAGTTATTTTTTTTTTTATTTTTATTTTTTTAAAGATGACCAGTAAGGGGATCTCAACCCTTGGCTTGGTGTTGTCAGCACCACGCTCAGCCAGCGAGCCAACTGGCCATCCCTACATAGGATCCGAACCCATGGCCTTGGTGTTATCAGCACCGCACTCTCCCGAGTGAACCACTGGCCGGCCCAAGTTATTTATTTAAAGTATTTAGCAAACACTTATTTACCACATGCCAGGCATTATTTTAAGAGCCTTACAAATATTAACTTATTTAGTCCTCATAACAACTGTATGAGGTAGGTATTATTATTATCACCATTTCACAGGTGAGGAAACAGATTTGGATGGGGTAAGTAACTTGCTAAGGTCATGCAGTGAATCCCTGGGGGAAATGGGATTCAGACCCAGGCAGTCTGGCTCCAGAGTCTGCTTTTAATACCTACACTATGCTGCTTCTCACTATGTTAATATGGTGACAACGAAATGTATGAGATAGTGAATACAGTTTATAGCATTCTTTGCCCGTCATTCAGGCCAGTAGAACAGCTCCTTTGCAGATATACTTTCCTTTCCATTATTGTTTTTTATGCTTGCTTCTTAACCAAATAACTTTATTCAGAACTTAATATCAGCAATGGGATTATCCCCACAAAGTCATTCATATTGTTGTTATAGGCTCATTCTCTATTGGTAGCTGGTTAACTCAGAATGTGTTATTTAATGAGGCGTCGTGGTACTGATGAGGCATCGTGGTCCTCCTTCTCTTCAGAGAAACAACTGATAAATATATGTCTTGTTTCTGAATACATGCTTTGTGCCTGAGAATTGAAGTGTTGTGGCTGGATCACTGCAAACATAACCTTTCTGTGGCCAATAAAACACCCAATTCAGAAAGTCTTCTTGATGAGATGGCACCTTTTTAAACATGAAGGATAAAACTTTTCAATATATTTTCTGAAAAGAGTTGATATAGTTAAATGTGCATAAGCTTTGAAACTAGACAGACCTGCATTTGAATCCTAGCTCCTGTGCTTAACTTGGCTTGGTCAACCTACTTATCCTGTCTGAGTGGGAAGAATAATGCCTTCCTTCCTGGGAGGTTGTGAGGATTTGATAAAATAATGTGACTAAAACTCCTTACAGAGTGCCTGGTATGTACTAAGTGCAAAAAAATGTCTACTTCCATCCCCTCCTCAGTTTTCTTGAAATAAGGTGGGTGTGTGGTCCACAGGTTACTATTTGCAATGGTATAGCATGTTCTTCCTCCTTCCATGAGTTGAGCACATTGGGGATGGGGATATTGGCCTAGCTTTTAATTTCAACCTGAGTGTGTAGTTATGTCATAGGTTCTCCTGTTGTTTTCCATCTAGTTAGCTATCAGTCTAGCAGAATGCTGTAGTGCTTAGGGATGATACTTAACTTTCCCTAGGTTGTTTGGAGGTTGTCTGGTAAAACTACTGAACAGTTAAAGGAATGGTCCTTCTAGCATTGCTCTGTCACCCTAGACTGTCCCGAGCTATGCAGTATACATTTGAGCTTGGAACTCAGATACATGCACTGCTCTGTTTTCCTGGTGCAGTGATCCAGATGGAGTGAGAATTCAAGCTGTAAGATATTTTTTGTGTCTCTAAACTAGGCTCATTCCGCTGACCAAGAACTCTCTTCTCTATCTCAATTAACAGCGAAATAAATCACTCAGTCAACCAAGCCAGAGCCGCATAGTGAAATTTGATACTTCCCCCTTCTTCATTTTCTGTATCCAAGCAAGTAGTCTCTCACCAGGTTCTATGAATTCTGTTCCTGATTTTTCTCTTGAAGACTTCTTTTTCTCTCCATTTGCAAAGATAATGGTTTCTGTTACTCAAGTATACAGAGTGTAGTATTGCTTCAAGCATGGCCAAATTTAGATGCTCAAAGTCAAGAATTGTCCCTGTTTCTGGGCTCTGCTTCCCGATATATTGGTTTTGTTTTCAGGCAGACTTTGTTTTTTGGTTTTTTTAATTTAATTTTTTTAATCAAATCATAATTTATTATACATATTTTGGGGGTTCAACCTTGATGTATGTTGATCAAATCAATATTATTAGCATATACATTATTGCAAATTGTACTTATTCTTTATGCCCCTTATCAAATCTCTCCCCATCCCCCTCTTCCTCTCTCCTTCCACCTCTGATAATCCTAGATTTCTTTTCTCCTTCTGAAAGAGTAAGTGTTAGTCTGTTGATTTGTTGCCTAGATGATCTGTCCAGTACTAAGAGAGGTGTGTTCAGATCCCCTGTAGTGTGGATGCTTCTTCTTTCACTCTGGAATGGGCTTTATGGAGAGAGACATCCTCTTCTTTGGTCTCTACTGGTGACTCTCCTTGTGTCAATGACTCGAGTGGCTGGCAGGCCATCTGCATGGTGGTTGTGGCATCTAGCCACTTTTGTGGCAGCCGTGGCTATTGTGGTGGATGTGGTGGGCCACCCATGAAGAAGTGGTGTTTTTTGGCATGCTCCTTGCCTGGATGTGGGAGGAGGGAGGCCTCATGCCTCAAGACACTGAGTGGGCCCTGTGGCGGTGGCAGGTGTGCCTGGTTGCAGGAGGAGGGGTAAGTCCCTGGCCTCCAGACCTCAGGACCCTGGGCAGGCCCTGTGGCAGTGTTGGCCTCAAGCAGACATTTTTATATGATAAACCTTAGTAATGCCAAACTTAGCAATCCCAACAAATAACAGGATGCCATCCCACTAGCAATAGCAAAAATTCTGGCGCTGACTCTTTTTGGACCGACTTGAGTTATGTTCCTGTTCTTATTATCAGGAATGGAATATGCTGCCCAGTCAGGCCTAAATTATGAGCCCAACCCTGGATCCTAGGGTAGAATGAGACCTTCTCGGAGCCTCATGGACCAGAGTAAGTGGTAGGGGGTGACTTTTGTGTGGAAATCCGGGTTCTGTTACCAAAATACAAGGACATGAATTTGGGGCAGATATAAACAATATATTCAATGCAGATCCTTATTATCTTTCATTGGGGATTATCTCAGTAACCTCCTAACTAATCTTCCAATCTGAATTTAGTCCCTCAATTCCAGACAGCTTCCACACTGATACTAGCTTAATTTTTCAGAAACAAAGTTACTATCGTATTTTGCTCAGAAATGTTCAATGGTTTTCCCATTGAAAATAGAATATAGTCAAAACTCCTTACCCCAGTATTCAGTCTATACTTCAGTTCCTATGA